AGGCTCTAGAATACTTTTTGGACATTTAATTTAATAGAGTTTTGAATATATTTTATTATTTTTTTGGTTACTTCGAACATGTGTATTTGATTTCTTATACTAATTATGATTGTGCATGTCATTTAACTTTACAACGTGGTTTGAAAAAAAGCATTTTTTTCGGTTTTATGTTGAATTTGATTGTTGGTTCAATTTCATTGTAATCACTAAGTATAGATTTGTAAAAAAATGAAATATTTAGATAAATATTAATTTAATTATTATTTTTATCAAATAAAAACTAAGAAATATTAATTAAACATTAGTTAGTCTTATTTCTTTCATAAAAATATAGTTGTAGATTTTATTCAATGGGTTTATTGTGGTTCTTTATTGCAAATATAACAAAAAAAATTAAATATATAAATTTAATATGTTAAAATTTCCTCATTATTTTGGTGATTTGACATTGAGAATTAATTTTTTTCTCCAAAACCATCCAACTCATTAGCCACATCACCTAATTTAATTTTAATCTATTTATTATTATATTTTAAATGCCAACTCATTCAACCAACCATCACATTACCTGTTATAGCAGGTCATAAGACCAAAATTTTCAACTTTTGTAACTTACAGGACTAAAATTCTGATTTTAAAACATGGTGGACTAAAACTCTCAACTAGCAAACTTGCAGGACTAAAAAACTCATTTTGCCTTTCATATTGTGCTGCATCAGAAACTGCATTTTCGCACAAAACGAGTACTAACTAGAGAACGTTCCACGAAACCTAAAAAATTATATTGAATTTGACACTATAAAGGTGAATGCGTGAGAAAATTCATAGTTGATGGGTAGTTGTAATTATCCAAACATGAGGGTTTTTTTCGTAGTTTGCCCTTACCTCAGCGGTGAAAGTAATTTATCCATTTTTTTCCTTTAAATATAAGTAAGTTATTTATACATTTCTCATAGATATTAAAATAATTATAGACATGAAACCTTAGTCTCGGTCATTCTATAAACATATGAATCATTGTCTTTTATTTTTAATTAATTAATTAATTTATAGACCAAAGTGAAAGTACAAGAAAGATACAAAAATAAAAACAAGATTGTAGTTTGAAATGGCTGCTAAATTAAACATTGATGCTAATTAATTAACGACGAAATGGCAGTTTGTCATTGGATTGGATGATTAGTGTACTGATTAATGATTAATTAATCTAGAAAATTGTCTGATTATGTATCTGCCAAAGAGTGCAAAAACAACACAGAACTTTCTAACAGAAGCTCAAAAATCATGTCTTTTTCTGGAAGAGAATATATACAGAGAGATGTATATATGTTTTTATTTGACCAAAAAATCTAAAGATTAGAACAAAGTTTATTGGATTATTAGGCCAACAACCAATCACAATTCGAATTATTCAAATGATTATCATATATAATTGATGTTTAAGGGACAACATTGTCTTAACTCTCAGCATTTTGTGGAGAAGTGTCAATTATTCCTAGGTTATTAATGTAAGTACTCTCTCTGTTCCACAATAACTGTCTCTTTTTAAAAATATTTTTGTTCCATATTATCTGTTACTTTAGATTTTCAATACTGCATTAAATGCATTTTTTCCTGTTTTAACCTTATTAATTCAACTATAAGTATTAACTCTCTCTTATCACATCATTAAATAATCAATGTTATTTTAGTCTTTCTAATATATTTTACCTAAAATCAAGACATATTTATTGAACTTCTTAATCCTTGTGCAAAGCTAAAAACGACACTTAATATGGAATGGAGGAAGTAATATTTACTATTTACTAGTATTTATGAGGTATTAATGAATTACATTTTTTTTGGTCCGAGGTAAATGTGTGATGCATTAATTACTATTTTTAGACAATTTTTTTTATTTTAATCACTCCTTATGCACATCGTGAAATCTTGAAGATAATTTCGTAGTTCAAATTTTAAACTAAAATCGATTGCACATATGACGAAAAATATTAAAATAAAAAATAAATTTCTATCGTCCGGATTGGAGATGGACAAGAATTATTATTTATTTATATTTTTAGAAAATATACACGCTAGAGTACAAAAAAATTTCATGTTAACGTTAGATGATCTGCTTAAACAGTGTTTAGTAAAACAAAACATATATTAATTATTTAATTAATTGTTCATTGAATCAAACATGAGTCGTAATTAGCATGTTAGGTATAGCATTATTGTATGCAAAATGTTGAAAACGAAATGTTATGAAAAAGAGTCTACTTGATTATAAAGTCAAATTAGTGGTAGATATGAATTGAAAATTTTATTTATGGACCAAACTTGTTTTAAATTATGCAGATTTAAAAAAAAAAAAAAAAAAAAAAAAAAAAAGTCTTCTATCCAAATTGGGCCTGTTTAAAATTGATTAAAAATAATGAATTTGGGATGGGCTTTTTCTTAATCATAAATATAAAAGTTGGGCCTTTTAATTTCCCGGTTCTTCTTAATTATAAAATAAGATAAACTGAGGTCAAATTACGAAAAAACCACTAATGTTTGAGTAATTATTATAACCACCCATTTGAACTATGAATTTTCTTACACGTCCATCCTTGTTGTATCAAATTTAATGAAATCTTCTAGATTATGTAGAATAATATTCAATTTGTACCCGTTTTATCCTATTCGAGCTCCACATTTTAAAACAAGATGATCATAATATATTTTTCTTGATTTGTAAAATATCTGATTGTGGTGCATCCTAAACTCAATTTTTGCACAACAAGAGTTAAAACTAGAGAATGTTCCATAATGTAGAAGATGTTGTTGAAAATTTGACCCTATAAAAGTGAACGTGTAAGAAAATTCATAATTGAGGAGTTATTGTAACCATCCAAACATAAATGAGTACTTTTCGTAATGTAACCTAATCTTAGGGAGGCGAGCGTAATTTACCCATTATCAAATAAAATACCTCTGCTTCCCAAAATCAAGACTCTGTTTTTAATTCGAGAGCAGAAGAAATGCTAACCCTCGGAAAATTTCAGCACAGCCCTCTTATCCACAACTCCGTCGTACCACAGCAGCAGCATCTCCTCCAATTCTCCTCCAAAACCCACCTCTCATTCCCCACCCGCCTCGATTTCCACGCCGCCGTCGGAAAATTACAGAATGGGTTCTTCTGTAGCGCGGCGAAAACCAACAAGAAGAAGAAGGGCGGCAGCTCCACCGCGGCAGAAATCGACGTCGCCGATGAAATTGAAGTCGGAATCGACGGCGCCGGTGAGTTTGACGATGATTTTGACGACGAGTTCTCGGATTTCGAAGAAGACGGTGAGTTTGACGGCGACGAGGACGAAGAAGACGGCGACGGCGAAGAGGTGTTTGTTCCGTTAGAGAATATGAAGAAGTGGCTAGCGAGTAGGCCGAGTGGATTCGGTGAGGGCAAAACGTACGATACTTCCGTTGAGGATAAGCTCGTCGAAGAATTAGAGCAGAGCAGAAAAGCCCAGCTCGCCAATTTGAATAAACTCAAGCATGGCTCTGTAAACCCTAATCCCAAGAAAGTAACCACCAATCAAGATAAAGGTTTTTTCACTTCTTGATTTTTTTAATTGAAAATTTTCCTTTTTGCTAGTTATGTTTGATACTTAATTGTCTGAGAATTTGTTGCTGAGCTTATATTGTTTGGGCTTTCGAGTGAATGATGTATCTTTCGTTTTTTCGCAAATCTGATTTTTGGGATGAATTTAATCGGATTAGTATGAGTTGATGTAAGGCCGAATGTACTTGCAGGCTCTGCGCAGATTGAGGATGGGTTTCGTGTGCGTTTGGTCAATCTTCCGAAGAAGAAAAACATTCACCGGGATTTACAGTTGGCGTTTAAAGGCACCCCGGGATTACTAAGTATAGTCCCGGTTGTTGCTGGGAACGAGAAAACTCGTGATCCGGTGTGCAAAGGAATCGCTTTCGTCGACTTCAAGTACCAAGACGAGGCACAAAGGTAATTATCATGTATATATATATAACTGATGTGAGCTAGCCCGTCGTATATACTTCGTTCATTGTGAAATGTTACGTAAATGGCATTTTCTTGTTTTTTTTTTTTTGTTTTTTTTTTTCGGGTTTTGATAGGTTTGTGGAGAACTATTCTGGTCGAAGCATAAGTTTCGGAAAAGTTCAAAAGCAGTTAACATGTGAAATGGTGAATCCCAATTTTCCGAAGAAGTCCGCGATTGCTAAACCAGTTGATGTGGGAAATCGCATCCCTCGAAAACCTCTACTCAAATTGAGTGAAGAACTCGATGATGTTCTCGAAACTGATGTTCCGCTGTTGCGTTCACTGGAGGAAACTGTACCGAATGAACTTGATGGAGAATGGGAAGATGATGATGATGATGATGATGTCGATGAAAAAATCAACGCAACTTCAGCTTTCGATTCTGCAGTCATTTCATCGTCCTCGAAGAAGATAAGTAAACCCGAAAAGAAAGAGAAAAAGGCAGCATCTAAAACGAAGAAAGAAGGGGTTCCGAAAATTAAAAAAATCAACGCAGCTTCAGCTCTTGATGACTCCAATATAGCTCAAGAACTCGATGGTGATTCTGCAATGAGTTCATCCTCTTCAAAACAGACGAGTAAAATCGACAAGAGTGAGAAAAAGGCAGCATCTAAATCTAAGAAAGACAGGAATATTCCGAAAACGAAAAACATCCTAGGATCTGCCTCTAGGTGGGATTAATTAATTACCAATTACGTTTATTACACGCTCATACTGTTGTTGCTGTTGTTGTTCGAATCTTGAAATTATTTGTTTTAAAATGCAGGTTAAAGGTAAGAGACAAGGCGGTGCTTACGGGTGTACTGTCCAAATACGGGGCGAAAGCTACTTTGGCTGTAAAAGAACAGGCTCGATAACCGACGATTCTTAGGAAATTTTACGTTTTTTTTTGTAATGATATTTTAACATCGATAAATGGTTAGTATTGTAGCTTCAGGTTTGTGTTCAATTTCCAACTCAATAGAGTTCAAATCGATTTATTCGAACTTGCGCACTTGATAGTGATACCCGATGAACTTCAACAAGTATAATTTGAACCGTATATATTACTGTCAATCATTTACTTTTACACATTCGCACGTGTGTGTTTATGTATATGTGATTATGCGTAGATTTACGACGGGTTACTACATTTAATTTATGGATGCTCAAATAAATATTAAAAAATATTCTTACTTGTCGTAGTGGAAATCATTACATATTTGGACTGTGACAAAAATGTTAAACACTCAATTATTGGCAAAATTAAGAGGAAAATGATAAGAAAAATCAGACACACCGGAAACCGGATATGGAGGGCAAAATCGTAAATACACCAAAAGCACTTTTGTACAGGTTTCATTTAACTCGTACCTAAAACCCAACTTCTACCCACCCTACCGCCCACCACCACCACCACCACCCACCCACCCCCTTTTCCTAAACACTTCTGTGTTTGAGCTGCTCTTTCTTCACCTAAACCCAACCCCCACCCCGCCTCCCCCTCCCCTCCCCCTCCCCCTCACCCCACCCCACCCTCTCAGACTAAAGCAAAAAAATCAAATTTAGCAATTTTACTGGAAAATTTCAGCATTTATTCTACCGGTATGTTTCCATTCATCGTACTAAAAAATTCATTCTTTTTTTAGTCCAGCTGATCACTCATTTGGGTTTCCTATTAATATGGGTTTATGGGTTTTTTACTTAGCTCTGTGAGCTAATATTTTGTTTCTTGATTTTTTTGGTGCCAAGTTCTTGGGACTTTTTTAATTCTTAATCCTAGGTTTTAGTTTATGGGACGATTTTGATTTTCTTGAAAATTAATTGGAAAGTTTACTTCTTGAATTTGAAGATGTGGAAAATTAATTTTTATGTTAATGTTAGCTCTCAAGTTTCTTGTGCCCTTTTTCTGCAGTAAAAGGAGAAAGTTCACATATAGTCTATAAAGGTTCAAACTTGGCAATTGAAAGAAATAAACATAGTTAATTAGGTTTAAAGATTCAATTTTTAAGCCCAATTTAGAATCCTATGTGCTTTCTGGATGAATTAGGGCATTTGGCCAATGGAAAAAAAATGATGAAATAGATCATTAAAAGTACCGCATTATGTGGGCTACTGTCTCGATTAATTTTTTTATTTTGGTTGTTGTCATGAATACGGTATTCGTTTCAGGAAATCTGGGTGAACTTGGAATGATCAGTTTGTTTCGTGCATGTTCATCAATATCATCAAAGGCTACTAGCCTTCTTCTTACGAAAAGCCCGTCTAGCAAACATTTTTTCCAAAGTTCGGCTGTTAGAACAGTAAACTTGGAATTGTTGTCAGCAAAACTTCAGTTCCAGTGCTATTCATCGAAAAGTTCTCGTAAGGGGAAAACCGTTCTTGAACCAATAATGAAAGAAGACAAGGAATCGTTTTTCGTTGTGCGCAAGGGTGATCTTGTTGGTGTTTACAAAAGCTTAAGTGATTGTCAAGCTCAAGTCGGAACCTCGGTAATCTCTAAATTTCCATTTACACATGACACGACATTCTTGTTTCTGTTTATATTTTTCCGTTTATTTTAAGTCAACCAGTAAATTCAAGTGGTCAAATATTTGTGAGTCAATGACCTAAATTTGGTTTCGTCTCCACACATTATCCGTTTTTATCCACACATTATCGATTTTTCAGAGGTATATCTTCTTAAAACATTTTTGAAAATATTTTCAAAGGTGAATAAGATGATTTCAAAAGAAGCATTAAAATATCCACGAGGCACATCTATTAGGTTATTGGAAGTTTGGAACAGTGTTGCTGGAAACGGACATTCAGCTAGATAATAAGCTACGTTTTCACTTGAAAAATGCGAGCCAACCTCAGCCAATCTTATAAAAAGATGAAAAGAAGGAATTGAATGTATATTAGTTATATCCGTCCAAATTGTTCTTCAGCTAGTTTTCTATTTCCGTTGTTTATTTGTTGCATATAAGTATATATTTATGCAAACGCACATATTATATATATGCGTTTATATATTTCCGCTGTCTATCAAAAGAGCTCTTATTGCGTGTTAGCTATTATTGTCATGATTGAGTTATCAAATGGTGGTTCATTTGATCTTAATTTGGCATACATTGTATACGTTGTTTGTTTCGTTGAATTTTTACTTCGAACCGTAGTATGTAATTTTTTTTTACGTGCCCCCTCATTTCTCAAAAACAACAAAATTCCTGACAGATATGCGATCCACCTGTCAGTGTGTACAAAGGTAACTCCATGCCAAAGGACACAGAAAAGTATCTAATCTCTTGTGGGCTTAAGAATGCTCTTTACTCCATTAGAGCTTCTGATCTTACCGAAGAACTTTTTGGCACTCTCGTCTCCTGCCCTTTACAGGTCGGTTGATCTATAAATATTTGTCACAGTTTTTCTTTTTTGGAATTATCTTATTAAGTAACAACACTTTCAAAAACAATTAACAATGCAAGATAAAAGGGCTGTTTGTATACTGCAATACGATTATTTCCATTTTCTTGATCTCATGTAAAAGAATCTTGAAATCAACTCGTGAAGTAAAAAAAAAATTCAAGAAACACAATTGTAGTTAAAAATTATATAATGTTTTTTGCATTTTACTTGCTCATAAAAAATATTTCGTGATTTTACAAGCATCGATTTTTTTTCTTTCACACGGCAGCCTTCTTCTTCTAGAGGTGAAACATCGAGTAGTGAGCCCGTTTCGAGGAAGAGGCCACAGGAATTGTGGTCAGAGTATGGGGTAAGTGACATCATCATCTGATTCTTTTTCAGACTATAAACCGGGCCTTTTTTTCTTCTTCTAGATTCTTCTGAATGAATCCCTTTTCTTCTTCTTCTTCTATATATATATATATATATATATATATTGATAATGATTGAACAGTGTTGGTTTATGGTTTATTGACATTGTGTACTTTTGCAGGAGCCCGTGGGCCCCATTTTGCCTCCGAGTGATGCTTTGGCAAAGCATTTCAAGTTCGAACCTCAATCACTTAGTGTGAGTTTGTCCACAGTTACACAATTTCATCAGAAGATGCCTTTCTTTTTCCCTTTTATTTTATTTTATTTTATTTATTTTAAATATAAATTTATTTCTGTACAGAGATGTTGTACTCTTGAGTTTGATGGTGCTTCAAAAGGAAACCCTGGACAAGCTGGGGCAGGAGCCATCGTAAAATCCGATGATGGAAGTTTGGTAAATAAATGAATTCTTTAAGAGGGTTTTTTTTGGAATTAAATTCGACCATAATATCTGAGATTTTTTTTTTGGCATTTTAGATTTGTAGGGTGCGTGAAGGCTTAGGGATTGCTACGAATAATGTGGCTGAATATCGGGCGTTTATATTAGGGTTGAAATGTGCACTTGCAAAAGGTTTTACTACTGTTCAAGCTCGAGGCGACTCCAAACTTGTTTGCATGCAGGTACATTTCCCTTTTCACGGTTCTTGATTACTAGTATCGATCGATTTTTTATTAGTTTGATTCTCAATTTTTTTTTGTTTCTAAGCAATGGTTTCGTGGACAGGTTCAGGGCCAGTGGAAGGTTAAAAACCAAAACATTTCATGCTTGTACGACGAGGCCAAGAAATTGATGGGCAGGTTTAGTAAGTTCCAAATTATGCACGTTCTAAGGGTAAGCCTCGGATTTTTTTCGGGTTTCGGGTTTCGGGTTTCGGGTTTTTTTTCCCGCTAAATCTTCAATTCTTGCATGAATTTCTCGTTACATCCACTATTCATATCACCCGTCTTTTAACTAACATCTTATATACACACGTTATGTCTTATGTAAGGACTTAAACTCTGAGGCTGATGCTCAAGCTAACTTAGCTGTCGATCTTGCTGGTAAGCGATACATATATATGTATTCTAATCTTATTTAATTAAACGTAAGATGTAGTGATTCATTTAGATCGACGTGTGATTGCAGCGGGACAGATTCAAGAAGATATTGATAAATAGCTTTCAAAGTGGAGGCTGTTTAGACAGTGATATATTATTTAATTCTCGTTGTTGATTAGAATCCTCGGATCGTAATTCAACATCTACTAAAACCAACGCGCTGAAACGGGATTTTTTTTTTCTTTTTCTTTTTGATTTGTCGAATTTGTTGTTTTTGTATTTTGATTTATTATGCAATTTTGAACTTTTCGATTAAGTGGGGGGCTGTAGTGTAAAGTAGCATAGGGTTGAGGGCTCTCTTAGTTCTCATATATGTGCAATGTGTCCAATTATGTAGACCAATAAATACTAGGTTTATTGATGATAAATAGGTGTGTGTAATTTCTTGATTTATGTAATGGGAAAAATGTTGCTGAAATTTTTAAGTTTCTGATTCCTATTTCAAATTTGTGTTGCTTAATTTATCATACGTTGTAACATTGTAGTAAATTAGTAAACTAATTATCATTTTATTAGAAAGAGTGGATTTTTTGGGTAAACTACGGCCACCCCCGAGGTAAGTTCAAATTATGAAAAACACCTTATATTTGGGTAATTACAACCATCCACCTCAACTACGAATCTTTTTACATGTTCACTTTTATTGTGTCAAATTAAACAAAATATCCTAGATTTCGTGAAATGCTCTCTAGTTCTGTGCAAAATGGCAGTTTCTGATGCATCACAATCTGATATGTTGTTTGAAAATATGAAGCTCGAATGGGGTAAAATAAGTACACACTGGAGAGTATTCCATCTAGATTTCACTGAATTTGACACCGCAAGAATGAACGTCTAAGAAGATTTATAGCAAATGGGATTGATTGTAATTACCCAAACATGAGGGCTTTATCCGTAATTTGACCTTACCTTAGGGACTGACAGTAAAAAAAACGGGCGGAGATATACTCTTGAAGATGTAATAATAGAAGTAGCCCGGCCCATTAGTATATAATAAGTTATTATTAATGGGCTATAAAAAAAAAGCCCACGTGACTAAATAAACAAAACCTCATATAAGGTCTAACAAAAACCCTGAATCTTCAGTCTCTCTCTCTCTCTCATTCCGCCTCCACCGTTTTAGCGGAAGGCATTGAGCTTCGTCTTTCGTTCCGCCGTCGCCGTCTGATTACCGGTCGAAGTTCTTCAGCTAATTCGTTGTGTAAGGGTTTCAACTTCCGTTTCGTCATTTTCACCGAACAATAACTCGTTATTTATTTGATCTGTATATGATTATATTGAGTTTAGGAATTTCTGGAATTGGTATGATTTTATTTTATTTTCGCCTTTTTGTTGGTATATAATCTTTCTCTGTATTAGTATTAAGTATTAACCAATTAGAGTTGTGGAATCTGATATTCAGTTTTGTATAGCAAACATGAACTGGAAATAATTATGTTGTACTTGATCTTCATTTTCTATTTAACTCTCAGTCTCCGGTGAATTAATTGAATTTAATGTCATTTTTTTCGCTCAAGGTTCGATTTTTATATCTAGTTTTTGTTATTATGCAAAAGGTCCTTTATTTTTGCATTTATTTAGGGTTCATTTTATAGTTTTTCGTTTAACATGTAATATTCCCGATTGCTGAAATATAATCATTTATTCTTATTTTTTGCCATTGATATCTGTTTGCTTCTGTATGTAGTATTTCGTTTAACATGGAGTATTCCTTATCTGATTTTTTGAGTTCTGTTTGTTATGCAGTGAAGAAAAAGTATTAAGACATGGTGCAGTACAATTTCAAGAAGATTACCGTTGTTCCAACGGGAAAGGATTTTATAGACATAATTCTGTCTCGTACGCAAAGGCGTACGCCCACCCAAGTCCACAAGGGATATGCCATTTCACGTCTTCGCCAGTTCTACATGCGTAAAGTGAAATTCACGCAGACGAATTTTCACGAAAAGCTTTCCACCATAATCGAAGAGTTCCCCAGGCTTGGTGACATCCATCCTTTCTACGGCGATCTTCTCCATGTGCTCTACAACAAAGACCATTACAAACTCGCCCTCGGCCAAATCAACACCGCAAGAAACCTGATTGGCAAGATTGCAAAAGACTACGTCAAATTGTTGAAGTATGGAGATTCTCTTTACCGATGCAAGTCGCTGAAGGTTGCTGCTCTCGGTCGTATGTGTACTGTGATAAAAAGAGTCAGCCCTAGTTTGGCTTATCTTGAACAGATCCGACAGCATATGGCAAGGCTACCTTCGATCGATCCGAACACTCGGACTATCTTGATCTGTGGGTACCCGAATGTTGGCAAGAGCTCATTCATCAACAAAATTACGAGGGCTGATGTCGATGTGCAACCGTATGCTTTCACCACAAAATCTTTGTTTGTCGGTCATACCGATTACAAGTATCTGAGGTATCAAGTGATTGATACTCCTGGGATTTTGGATAGGCCGTTTGAGGATCGTAATATTATTGAGATGTGCAGTATTACAGCTTTAGCCCATTTGAGAGCTGCTGTACTGTTTTTCCTTGATATTTCCGGTTCTTGCGGATATACGATTGCACAGCAGGCGGCTCTATTCCATAGCATCAAGTCGCTGTTTATGAATAAACCCCTTACCATTGTTTGCAACAAGACTGACTTGCAGCCGTTGGATGGGATATCTGAAGAGGACAAGAAACTAGTCATGGAGATGAAATCCGAAGCAATGAAAACGGTGATAGGTCAGGGTGGTGAACCGACTGACGATAACGGCGTACTCTTGACAATGAGCACTTTGACAGAGGATGGTGTAATTGCTGTAAAAAACGCAGCTTGCGAGCGATTATTGGACCAGAGGGTGGAACTGAAAATGAAGTCCAAGAAGTTGAACGACTGCCTGAACCGCTTCCATGTTGCCATGCCGAAGCCACGCGATCACAAGGAAAGGCCACCGTGTATACCTCAGGCCGTCTTGGAAGCCAAAGCCAAGAAAGCAGAGGAAACTGCAGAGAAGGAGAAGAAGAAACTGGAGAGAGATATCGAAAACGAGAATGGTGGTGCTGGTGTGTATTCCGCAAGCTTGAAGAAGCACTACATGCTAGCAAACGACGAATGGAAAGAGGATAACATGCCCGAGATTCTTGATGGGCATAATGTGTACGACTTCATCGACCCCGATATTTTGATGAGGCTCGAGGAGTTGGAGAGAGAAGAAGGCACTCTCCAAGGTCTTGAGGAAGACGATGATTTCGAAATGGATGGAGCTGAGTTAACACCCGACGAACAAGCTGCACTTGCAGAGATTAGGAAGAAGAAGAGTCTACTTATCCAGCAGCATCGGATTAAAAAGAGCACAGCTGAGAGCAGGCCGATTGTGCCTAGGAAATTCGATAAAGATGGGAAATTTACGTCGGAGAGAATGGGGAGACAGCTGTCATCTCTTGGACTTGATCCGTCAAAGGCTATTGACCGTGCTAGAAGTAAATCCAGGGGTCGTAAGAGGGAGAGATCTGTTAGTCAAGTTGACTCGATGGATGTTGATGGTGATAATTCGAATAAGAAGATGAGGCTGAGGTCCAGATCGGCGTCTAGGTCTTCAAGGCCACCTGGCGAACTTGTTCCTGGTGAAGGGTTAAGAGACACTGCGCAGAAGAAGAAGGCTATTAAATTGGCGCAGGGCTCTAGCAAGAACAGGAATAAGGATGCTCGTAAAGGAGAGGCCGATAGAGTTATTCCTACTCTCAGACCTAAGCATTTGTTCTCTGGCAAGCGCTCTAAAGGAAAGACTGACAGGCGTTAGTGGAATTCTCGAGGTAATTTTATTGCAAGATACTTCGATTTTGATTCCTCGTACTTAAATACTTGCGATGAGTCAATCTGATATTGTTTTTACTGATTTTGCTTGTTGCAGAGGAAATCGATATTTTACAATATACAACAGCCTATGGAGGGTCGTATACTGGAAGCTGTAACGGATGGGTTGTGGAACTTTTGTGTTTTATTTGATAATTTATTGGTTAGATCGTTTTATTTTTTTACGTTAAATAGAATTTTGCCCCTTGAGACGGTTTATTGTTTTTATTGTACTGAAATTTTGAGACTTTGTTTTGTCGGAATCGTGATGATTAGGACGTTTGTTATAATGAAGCTGTTGCAGAAGCAAAATGTGTGAGCTCAGTGAGCTTGTCTGGATGTTTGTTATGTGTTGCGTTGTTTTCTTGCTAATTTATGAATGTTGTGTGTGTTCGATTTCGATTATATGCAAAAATGAAAATGCAGCTGGCCGAGCTGATTGGCTTAAGTACTGCCTCTCAGTAAGTTAAAACAGCTGCATATATTCAAATTAGACGGTACACACAACCAGCTCCTGCCTTATTGAGTTTTGAGGCAAGATAGACAGTGCCGTATATCTTTCGATTTAAATTTCGAAATTCTTGTTTGTGTGTTGTATGATATTTATCATTTGAGAGTTTATATCCTTAGTATTTATGTAATGTTTATTTGTAAATGTACAATTGCATTTGCTCTGTCCCTAAAATTTGACAAGCAAATGGATTTAAGATACAGTACAAGAAATAACAGAGATAATGGAAAATGTGATATATATATTTTAATTTCTTTTGGAATAAAAAAGATTAAATAAATTTTAATTTTAAGTATGTAGGAATTAGATAGTTTTAAATACTAAAAATTTCTTTAAACAAATGTCTAATCTTGAATTTTTAGTATTTTTTTTTTGACATTTTGTTTAGACTTTCTAAAATAAATAAATAAAATGTAACGGAGAAGATAAATTCAAAAGTTAAATGAAATTTTCAATAAAAAAATAAATTATAATTTGATGGACCGGCCCACACGTAAACAATTGGACCGAGTGGCCTATTATACAAATTCAATAGACTTGGAGCTGAAGAAAATGAAAACCCAGAAATTACAGCAAGAAAGTTCAAATTCACCGGAGTAATGGCGATGGCGCTGAGGCGTGGGTTGGGGACATCACTGCCGGCGAATATGAGGTGGATTGCAGTCACAAAACCCTTGATTCCTTGTCGCTATTCCTCGTCGCCGCATAAATGCGCTTCGGTGGCGGCTCCGGTTCTGCCTTACGACGTCGATTTAGCCACGGTGGCACGAGTTGAGACGCTACCGAATCTGCTTCGGCCGCGCGTCGTCGTCTACGACGGCGTTTGCCACCTCTGCCACACCGGTAATTTAATTTTTTTTTCTCCTCTTTAATGTCGGTGGCTCTGTGATTTCATTTTGTTAGAGTTTCTTAGGGCTTAGGTTCTGTTGCCATTTTTTATTATCATCAACGAAAAACTGAATTCAGAAATTGGCGCCCTAACTTGGCAGCAAAGGAGAGAGAATCAGATTGTTGCTGAATGACAATATAATGAATTAATAAGAAATCATGACTCTGTAATTGAATTTATGGAAATGAAAGTATGAAACAGCCAAATAGCAGAACATGATTCCTGAGATGTGGATGAACATGTTGTTTAGTTGCACCTGGCATTACGAATTTCCTTCCGGCCAATGAATTATGAAGCGTTTAATAATGCAACGGGATAAAAACCGTTGACACCATGTAATTTTTTGGTAATATGAAGTTTATTTTTGCATTTATGCTCATACAATATCTTTAATGTAGCCATTTGTAGATAGATACAGATTAGCCTATATATTGCACTCTTGCTTGATAGAGATCCTGTCTGTAATCATTGCAAAGCATCTACTGTTTTGGCCGTGCTTATGAACCTCTACTTTGGTATCATTTTCTTGTAGTGTATAGATCGTTGCACAAGAATTTGATCTATGTTGGAATACCTTCTCGTACTTCACTTGAAAAATGTGGACATACAGAGAAACTTTCTTGATTAAGATGCTTCTAGTTATGTGTTATTGTTGCTTTCATCTTGCTTTTGGGCATATCAGATTAAAACGCCAAAGGTTCTTCCGACATGTAGGAGTAAAATGGATCATTGGAGCTGACGTAGACAAGAAAATCAAGTTCTGTTGTGTGCAATCAGAAGCTGCCGAGCCTTACATGAAGATTTGTGGACTGGAACGAGAAGATGTTCTTAGTCGATTCCTATTTGTTGAGGGTCCCGGTTCATATCACCAAGGCTCTGCTGGTAATTCCCCATTTTTATTTACCGTTACAAGTCTGATTAGTTAACACAAAAATTTGGGCTGATTGTGTTTTGTCTTGTTTTGAATATGATTTTTCTGTAGCTGCTTTGAAGGTTTTATCGTATTTACCCCTGCCTTATTCTGCACTGAGTGCTCTGTTGATTGTTCCACGTCCTCTGAGAGATGCCGTTTATGATTACGTGGCGAAACGGCGTTATGACTGGTTTGGGAAAGACGAAGATTGCTTAGTCTTGAAGGAAACTGAGTTGCTTGAGCGCTTCGTCGATTGGGAAGAACTGCTTAAGCGTTCACGCTCTCAACAGCTATGAGAGTGTCGCAACAAGTAATGAGTGATGAGTGATGAGTGACGAGAGATTCTTCTTGCACGAAGACTGTAAATATACGAGTATAAACCCTCTTCACTAAAGGATTTTCATAACCATGTGTAGATAGATAGGCTACAATGGGATTTTAACTGCTACTAGTAATTTTTCATTTTATTATGGAAATTGCACATGTAGAAGGAAATCGAATATTTGTAGCGGCTTGTTGTTTCGACTCCAGTAAATTGTTTTCTTCCGTGTTTTAACACGCGTGTCGTAAATTCGATATGCAACTGTCTTCATTCGAATGACAATTTGATGCAAAATTCACTACCAGAGATGCAAATGTGACATTATATATCAAAATACATATCTTTTTTTTCTCTCTCACTACAATAACTAGACAAACTCCTATTTATTGTCTCTCAAAATCTCAGACTTAGATCACAATATATTCTATTAAATATATAAATTCTAAGCACTAGACCACTCTTTCCAGTCCTTGTCGACATGGGCTTGAGCCCACTTAACAGCTGCTCGAGCCGCCTGAGGTCCTCCCGGCAAGCCTCTCTCGTTTACCGTATCAGCCATATCTATGAACGGAAGGACCAGTAGTGTACCTGGACCACCGTACTCCGTGTGCATGAACTCGTTGAAGATCTGTTACATGTACATAATTTTATAAGTAACGAAATTCAGCAGATGTATTGAACATTATTGATGCTACTACATCACACATACCGAAAAAAGACCCCAGTTGGAAACGAAAGCAGGAGAACAATGCAAACGATATATGATGGAATGATATGAATACGAACCAATTACTCACTCACATATCGAATACTTACTTAACAAATACTTCAATTTTTTTATTTGTTTTTAATAGTACATAAATATAATGCACAAGAGCTCCAAGAATTCAAATTTCACCCTTCGTTGAGATTGATTAAAAAAAATACACTATCTTCAGGAAAATTAGTTAGAGAAAATCTATTGACAGAGTAGAATATATTAAAGAAAATACCTGGGTACAAATTCCAACAACTTCATCTATAGAATCACCAAACATATCTTCTTTCTTGGACAACTTCTTAACTAAATGGGTTTTAAACTTCACAGTCTCCTGTACACAAATTCATCAAAAATTCAAACTCGAAACAACAACGGAAAAACACAGCTTATAGTGAGTTAACTCAGTGGGTGGGACTGTGTGTAAAGGAAGAAACGTAGACAGACAGCGCTTACAGAATCGGCAAATTCCGGAATTGGGTCGGGGAATTTGTACTCCTTTTCGGCCCTGCAAATAAAGTTGGAATCTTTTTTCTTAAAAATGAGGGAAGAGTGGGTGTGGAAATTGGGGGTTTTAGGTTTATTTTCACATGAAGAAACGTGATTCGAGCAGCAGAATTTAATGGAGGAAAAGGGTTTGGAAGAAGAGTGGAGAAGTGGGGGTGCCGCCGATATAGCACAAGCCATTGTTCGTTATCTGCTTCTCTCTGCTCCACACTCAATTTCTACTTTCTATTTTCAAACTGTTATCAGAGTTTGTTCAAGGGTTTATCTCTCTCTCTCTCTCTCTCTCTCTCTCTCTCTCTCTCTCTTATTTGCTTTTCCCTTTTTTTTTTCTTTTAAATAAATAAAATATGATTTTTTACTAAAGAAATCAATAAATTTTTATTTAGTGATATTTTCACTTAATACTTGTTCAACATTTTTCTTAATTAATTCTATTTTCGATTTATTGCATTCGAAAATCTTAGTATATACTTAATAGTGATTACTTAATAGCACAAATAGCCATATGTGTGTGCGCTTAACGGGTAGTTATTCGGTTTGAAACGATTGAAAAGCAAAAGTTAATTTACATAAATATTTTTTTTACAAGATATTTACATCTGGCATGCTCCCCAAACAACCATTGCTATTTTGTTCATCTTGTATTCATTCTCTACAGTAAATATAAAGAGGGAGTGTTGGTAAATTGACCATAAAATAAAAGTAAAACAAGCAAGTTCTTGAGTAACCAACCATACCATATGCTAATGTTAGAAGATTAGATTATCATTAATTTTCTTACACTTCACAAATTCCTCTGATTAGGGTCCAGCCATGGAAATCCCAGGAAATCAAACACCTCCTTTTCACTTCCGAACTTCAAAGTCGCACTGCCTTTGCTTCCTCCCTGCACAATGCCAACAGGGGGCCATCACCCCCTTCACTCGTCAAAATTATAGTAGTATAGTAGTAGTGTCGTTCACTAAAGATTTTTTTAGCGTATATTACCCGTTTGCCACCTGAGCTAAGAGTGGCTGGAAACAGTCCCGTGTCGTCAAGTCTGAATCCTTTCGATTCTGCTAATAATCTCAACCTGAACAAAAAACAACAAACAATTCAAAGCAAACTCAAAGCATTTTAATTTTAATTTTAATTTCAATTTATACACTCGTGGTGAGAGTTGGTATAGTTTCTAGAGAATAGGCACACCTCCTGTTCAGTACATCATTTCCCGTCCATGCTATTAATCCGAATGCATAAATATCCCTTGGATAAACCTATACATAATAAAGGATACGAGTTGATTAATTAATAACAACAATTAAGCAATATTTCTTCTTTAAGTTTAGCCACAAAAAAAAAAGGGATCACTACACCCTTCAATCTTTTATATCTGATTGTTGGACTGCAAGGAAGCAAAAGGAAAAAGTAACAAACCTTCAAATCTATACGATGTCGTAACTCTCGATCACGATAGGTACAAAGACCAAAATACGTATCCACTCCAGAGTCAGTACCCTGTGTAGACATAGCGCAAGGCAGAAAGGCAAATGAGTACGCAAGTAAAGTAACAAAAGGTACTGTACTGCAAGAATGATTACCTCCTCACTGTGAACACTAAAGACCAGATCCTCTCTCAAGAAGTTTATTTCCTTAAGACGCTTCACAAACTTCGGGAGAAACCCTATATGGCTGGATAAACAGAAAAAAAAAAAACGAGCGAGTTTTCAAGAAAATATATTAAGAACCATCTTTTCCGTTAGCCTTCTTTCTTGTCTATAGACGTTAATAACACAAACAATTGAAGCAAGATAAAACAGATGGAGATAATCTATAAAAGATTTCCGCTTGTTTTTCATTTGCCTACATTTAGGAAAATACAGAGCTTAAGAAACTAAAAAGAACTTATCTGCAACAGTTTCTAGTACCCGCAAGAAAACGAGATATATATTCTCGCTGAATATCGTACCTTTTTCCATCAGGGTGAGTAATTACAATGTCCATATCCCCACACGAAGACTTTCCGCGTCTGTATGATCCTCCACAAATAATTTCTACCTGTAACAATATATATCATCAGTATGCAGAGTAATGAATCAATCTTGGAACGAACAACAAAAAAAAAAGAAAAAGAAAGAAGGAAAAGACTTTCCATTTCTTCAACCTATAATATTTAATAGGAAACGATATCATCATTTAAGCTTAGCTAAAATCCAAACAGCAGCTCACCTCAGGCAAAATCTCTTGCCCGATTTTCTGTAGAAGACTTTCCATTTCTTGAACCTATAATATTTTAAGGTGTTACTGTTGTTAAAACAAGATAATAATATAATAGTACACAGTTCATCGATCATGATGCAGAAACTACTAAAATCACGAGTATGATGACCTCATGGCGTGGAATTCTCGTCTTGATGTCATCAAAGTATTTCAGGCCTATCCTCTGGGAATTTGTTAATGAGTCTTCGTTTTGCAAATCATCCAGATTTCTGTGTCCTTTCTCGTAAAGTTTAAGTGCAGTGGCAGGACCAATGCCCCATACTTCTCCGAATAAACTGATTGTGCGTACCTGAGAAATCACAGAATTTTCAGGAGTAAACAACACCCAAAAGAATGTTTGACATAGTTTGAACAAAATCGAAATTGAATATCTTAAATATGTATCCATTTCAAACTCGAAATAGCTATGAAAGAAAACTTGAAAAAAACTTAAATATTTTAATATGTCTTAAATATGTATCCATTTCACCGTATGCACTATTTTAGTAAAACTTGAAAGCAGCACAAAGTATAGTAAAGTATTTAACGCAGAAGTACACAACACCTCATTAACAAAGTAATTTGAAATCAATATGCCACGATGACCAATGCAATGAAAAACTGTCTATTTAGGAATGTATACAATGAAATATAGCACCTTTTCATCATTCTCGAAGTGCTCCAACTTAGATAGCTTTCCAGTGTTTACTATTTCCTGAATCTGTAAATAAACCTTTAATATCAGCAAAACAGGGGAAATAGACAAGAGATAAACCAGCAATGCACTCTAAGAGGTCAGATAGATATGGCTAAGGAATAAGTACGTGCTTACATGATCCTGCAACGACTTTCCGATTCCAGGTAGATGTTTGACCTGGTCAGCACTTTCGATTCTAAAAGGCAATTTTTCAATAACTGGGATAGCCTTATAATAGCTAAATGACCGCCGTTCATCACCAAGGGCTGTCATCAAAGATGGGTACTAAAATCAGCTTTACACACATTTCAAGTGCTAACAACAAAAACGGTATTCTGAAAAAGATTAACCTCTGTAAATGTCGATAAGCTTTCCAAATATCTCAGTAATATTCCTGTTAAGATCGGGAGGGCTATAAAGCAACGATGTATCAGACGAGGAGACCTGTTAAGAATGAATCCAAGCAGACGTTTCACAATAGACTAGATATTACACAACGTAGAAAAGTCAGAGAAAACCTAAAACTCGAATTCATTGAATTTATTTCGTATACAAATTCCATAGCAGAAAATGGCATGAACTTACAGCTCTATCTTGACCATCCAAATTCGGACTCGTCACTTCTGGGCTTAAAGAGCGAGATGAGCAGCTGGCAGTATTGATTGAGATTTTTTCTCTTTCTTCCGATTCTACAGTTTTGGAGTCCTCAATGCAGGTTTTAGTCTTCTTAGTTGTGGATGGATCTTCGGTACTCAAATGATTAGCATTCGTATGTTTCAGATTGTTCTCCTCGATATCTTTGCTTCTTCTCTTTCTCTCGGTGTCAGCTGACAAAACGTACGAATCTTCCGACACTTTTTCTCCTAATCTCAAGCTATCCTCTAGCCATTGATAGCTTAGAATTTTCTGTCACAAACGTACACTGCGTCAACTTAGTTCTAAATCCACTAAGCATTTGTATAATTCACATACAACACAAGGCTCAAAGTAGCAAGGAATTTTGAAGCAGTTACAAGTAAATCGAAAGTTCGCAAACGAAGTTACCACCAACTAAGCAACGACCGCCATCAGACAAAATGCAAACGTAACCATTTTGAACATTAGAACAATCTACGGCAAGCAACACCATTACAGTATGTCAGCATCCCAAAATATAATTACATTAAAAAATTAAAAATCCTGCATTAAGTTATTCAATTTCAAACCCCATCGTTACAGTCAAAATTACAAAACCTAAAACAAACAGCATAATCAATTTCTAAACAATAATTCCAGCCCATGATTTCTAAGAACGATAAAATCAATAATAACATACTCCTTTGAATCGATTCAAGCTACCCCCCTCCATTTTCTGAAGCAGCGAATTTGAATCCGCCGCAAAAACGTGGGTTACCCTTTTGGAAAGATTATCCTCAATTTTAGCCCCCATTTGCACCAGTTTATGCTTCCAAATCTAAAAAATAAGCAAGGAAACAAAAATTAGCAATACGCTCATCGCAGATTTCAGTAAATTCAATTTATTTCGCAAGTTAAATTCAAAAAAAAAAAAAAAAAAAAGTAAAAGAAAAAGGGGAACACAACCTGGAGTCGACGGGCTTGAACAGCGGTTTCGATGAAGAAGACGGCCATTCCAGAGAACATGCCGTTAGGATCGGACGGTGGAGATTTGGTCTTAGCCTTTGGCGCCATTTTTCGGATGCTGTTTTTCAGTGGGAAGCTTTTGCTAGAAGAATGTGCGAGACTGGAGAAGTTCAGCTTGTAGTGTACGGAATACAAAGAAGGGTACAAAAGTCAATACACCTATATAATAATATCAACACTATTGTGTATTTTTATTTTTTATAGTATGTAAGATTTTAAAAAATGGAATTAATGAATTCTTTGAATTATGATTTGATTATTTTTCATTTTAGAACAAGTTCTATCTTTCCACTTTCTGATTTTATTGGAACATAATTACAATAAATTTTGCATTAAAAAAATAAATTCCAAAAGTCTAATTTTCATCTTTATGAGTGAAAGTTGCAGTTTTTATCCTTCAAGTTTGCATCTATTTCATGTTTGGTTCCCAATGTTCAAAAAAATAAATTTGGTCCCTCGTGTTCCAATAATTTAGCAATTTTAGTCTTTTCCATCAATATAACGTTATCCTGTTAGTTAAGGCAGTGATGTGCACACGTTTGATTATGTTAGTTTTAACGGGAAATTTGACAGAAATGACTTAAAGTGTTGAATTTTTGAAACATGAAGGACTAAATGTGTAAGCAATGCAAAGTTGAGGGGCAAAAACTGTAGTTTTCCCTCTTTACGAATAAAAACCAGTATATTCTGGGAACAGGCCCAATTACAATTGGAAGCCCAGTGGGCTAATTTCCCCCCAAAAAAATGAAAATGGAAAAAAAAAAAAAAAAAAAAAAATCTCAAAATCGCAAAACCCAGCAAAAACCCATCATCCAATTCCAATTCAAGAGAAGAGAGAGAAAGAAAAATAATGATAGTGCAGCGTTCAGCTTCGATCTTGAGAACATCATTGTATTATCCCAAGGTTTTCTCACTCTTTGCCACCAACCATTCCTTCTCTACTCTCACCATTTCTCGCCGCCTCCGGACTCATAAAATCCGAGCCTTCGGAACAACCCCCGCCGCCGCCGCCGCCGCAAATGGAAGCAACGCCGACACTTTCTTGGCGGAGGAAAGCGTTTCCTGGGCTTCACTTGGGGTTTCCGATTCCGTTTCGCGCGCCCTCGGCAGCGTTGGGCTGCATAGACCCTCCCTAATCCAGGTTTCTTATTTTGTCGTTTTGTGATTTTTTATTTTTGGCATTTTTTTTAATTACTGGGAGGTGTAAAGAAGTTTTTTTTATTTGGTATAATGATATATAAATTAGATGATTGGATTTCTTGATTGTAATTCAGAAACTATGGAATTTCATTGCTTTGATTATGAAGTGAAAAATCAATATGAGCTTTCTCTGTATTCACTGTAGCTATACTAATTATCAATATTTTCGTCGAATTGGGGGACTCACATGTAAATTAAAATGTTCAGGCGGCTTGTGTGCCGGCCATTCTTGCAGGCGGTGATGTGGTGGTTGCAGCCGAAACCGGAAGCGGTAAAACTCACGGATACTTAGTCCCTCTTATTCATAGGTTATTATTATCCACTACCCTCGATTTGCCTGAAAGTGGTTCCGATGATTTTAAACATAAGAAGCACCACCACGTTTCTCTTGTTTTCTGCCCTAATGTAATGCTCTGTGAACAAGTCGTTCGTATGGCGAACTCCATTTGTGATACTTCTGGTCAGCCGCTTCTCAAAGCTGCCGCCATTTGTGGCCGCCAGGTAAGAAAAATACGCTACTTTTTAATTTTTTTATTTATATATCATGGTGTTTGATGCTAACAATTTCGATCAAACTTCTCATTATCAAACTTCTCATTATGTTGGCTGCAGGAAATGTTGGTCAAAGAACCGGACATTATAGTATCGACACCAGTTGCGCTTCTGAACTACCTTTACGCAAACGACTCGGAAAAACGCGGGCGCACTGATTTCATACGTGGTGTCAAATATGTGGTAATTTTTTTTCCTTTGTTTTTTTTTTTTTTTAAATTCGGGTGGTTGTATGCAATAACTAATAACAGCTTTTCGATTTATCCGAGTTTCGCCGATTAAAAATCCAATCTTGATAATATTTTTTCAGGTTTTTGACGAAGCAGACTTGCTTCTATGTGGGAGTTTTCAAAACCAAGTCGTCCGACTAATAGACATGCTCCGTTTCGACGAGAAACAGTTAGCTCGGTTGAAAAGTCCTGATGCAGCGGGCCCCACAGATGCTGCCGTGGAAGATTCCGATACTGAAGAGGATTTTCAAGAAGATTTCGTTCTTGAAGAGGTTGAAAACGCTGAGGACATACCTGTTGAAGAAGAATCCGAGGCTGAAGAATCTGAAGTTGAATCCGAGGTTGTTAGAGAAAAAAGAGATTGGAGGAGGGTAAGAAAAATATACGCTCGAAGCAAGCAGTACATTTTTGTCGCAGCCACTCTTCCATTAAACGGAAAAAGAACAGCTGGCGGAACTTTAAAAAGAATCTTTCCAGATGCTAAATGGATTAGTGGAAATTATCTCCATCGCCAAAATCCAAGGTTTTCCAATTTCCGTACATCTGTTGTCTATTCAATATATAGTTAACTCCATTATTTTAAATTTATTTTTACGGATTTATTTTCAGATTAGAGCAAAAATGGGTTCAAGTTTCGATCGATACACAGGTGGATGCACTTATAGATGCTGTAAACAATAACGGGCTTAAATCTAATTCTGGAGAATTACGGACCATGGTATTTGCAAACACAGTTGAAGCAGCCGAAGCAGTTGCTAATATTTTGACGGGAGCTAATATAAGATGTGTGAGGTACCACAGTAACATTTCTCTGGAGGAGCGCACGGAGAATCTAGTTGATTTCCAACACAACGGCGGTGTTTTTGTCTGCACTGATGCTGCTGCTCGTGGACTTGATATACCGAATGTTTCGCACGTTATCCAGGTAAGAATCTTCTACAAGTTCAATTGTCTTGTTTGCTTTTTTTATTTTTTTATTTTTTTGGGAAAATTAAAAATGGAATCTTTAATTTGGTGGTAGGCGGAATTTGCTAGTTCTGCTGTGGATTTTCTTCACAGAGTTGGAAGAACAGCTAGGGCAGGACAACATGGTCTTGTTACTAGCCTTTTTACGGAATCGAATCGGGATCTCGTAGCTGCGGTTCGTCAGGCTGAAGATCAGGGCTTAGCTGTGGTAATTTTTTTATTTAAATTTTCTTCTATGGTGGATGTGATATAAGTTCTGATTTATTTTAGAAAAAAAAAATAATAAAAATACTAGGGTGTGACGTGTCCTAAATCAAGTATTGATATCTTTGCAGGAAAGTGCATTTAGTAGAAAGAGAAGTTTCCGGAACAAACTTAAGAAGAAAGGTACATTTTGCTAACGAGTAACACAATTTGTTTGCATAGATTATATAACATGTGGCCTATTATTCTTATTAAATAATAAATACCCTTGCTTGTCGTGTTATATCAGCTTTCAGCCAACGGGAAAGCTCATCATCATCGGTTCCAATGGCGGCATAGAGCTACTCGGGGTGTTTAAGTATTACCACTTCGCAACAGGTTTATGCAAAACGGTCGTTTTTAGGATAAACGTTTAAATGTTTTTTGTAGTTGCACTTTTGATAAATGTCGAATCAGAGAGCCTTCTACAATCACTCACTTAAATTACTGGATAAACGTGTTTGGTTTTGTTAAATTCTTTTAAGAAGATGTTATGTATCAACAGGGTTTGTATTATGTGAACCAGGTCGAAGCCCCGACTATGGGGTGTTTGCAATTTTTTTGTAATTCTTCTTTAAGTAGAAGTCGATGATTGTGAATAAACATACTTATTTTTAGAAGTTAATGGTGTTTACAAACATCCCGAAAAAAACGATTTCAAAAATTGGTTTAGAAAATTTAGAAATTCAGTAATGTTCACGGTGTTTGCAAATATGCTGGAAATTCGATTTAAGCAATCGATTCAAGCACAAATCAACTGCTCCACAAATTCATCAATGGCTATATCAGAGCTGCCACCTTCATCAATTGCTCTATTCGACGCATCTCTCCATTTCTTCACATTCATCCTCAATTGCTCACTCCCCATAACTTCTCTCAAACACCACAAAAGTTCATCTCTCCTCACAACTCCATACTCATCCTCCTTAGCCCTAACCCCCACCCCCCACACCTCTTCGATATACTTCGCATCCGTCATCTGATCCGACCACTGTGGCACCCCCACCATCGGCACCCCAAGGCACAACCCTTCAAGCGTAGAGTTCCACCCGCAGTGAGTCACGAAGCAACCCACCGCCGGGTGACCCAGCATCTCCAGCTGGTTGCACCACCCCACCACCAAACCCCTTTCTCCAATCGATTTCACGAATCCCTCCGGAAGCTTCTCCCGCTCCGTTTCTCTCACCACCCACAAAAAGTACGATGTGGCGGAGGTGCAAGTTAGCAGCGTCAGCGCCGCCGCGATCTCCTCCGTCTGTTTGGCGGTTAAGGAGACCATGCTGCCGAACGAGATGTAGATCACCGATTTTGGGGGTTTGTTTTGAAGCCATTCTCGGCATTGGTTGCTTAGCGGCTTCCATAGGCTTGCTCCGTACCCTTTGTCTCCTTCGATTCTTCCGTCCAGGTACGATGAAGGCACCATCGGTCCGATCAGTTTCGCTGGCCATGTTTTCGCCACGCTTCTTGCTTCCTAAAAACAAAGCATAAATTTAGCTCGAAAAAGATATTTATTTTGCATTTAAGACCCTGTGTTTATTTTAATTGACAAAATACCCCATTATGATTCAATTTTATTAGCAAACTACCCCTAAAAACTGAATTATGGAGGGTTGTTTTCTAATATTTTAAAACACGAGGATATATTTAGCCATTGGATATTCATATAGGGTGTTAAATGTAATAAACTACAAAAAAAATATGAAAAACTTATAATAGGAGAGTTTAGTTACCTGGGATTCTAATTCTTGGAAGGTGTTAGCGAAGACGAAATCGGCTTTTTCCAAGTTCGAGAACTGACTCATTTTCATCGCCAGGTAAGCTGGGTAACTTTCCGGCGCCCGGAGGAATCCCGGCAAGTCGCACGAGTTCAGTGGCGGCAGACCCGGCAGCACCAGAGGCTTCTCCTTTGCATCCACCGGCAGAGAGAGCGCACCGCCATGGATGTGGCTGAAGATGGCACAGACCGCGGCGGAGTTGGTGAAGAACGACGCCCCGAGCACGCCGTGCTCCCTGGCCACGTCGAGGGCCCACGGCAGGAACGAGTCGTAGATGACGCAGGTTACTGGGTAGGCGGTGGTACTGTATTTGTCGATGAGCTGCGACAAGGTTTTGGAGCCGTTCTCCTTGAAGGAGTTGAGGTAGGCGGCTTCGTTCTGGGCTTGGGCGAAGCCGCCGTGGTCGAACCCATCGGAGACCGGCTCGACGGCAACGGCGTCAGTCTGGATGGACCGGACGGTGTAGTGGGTGGTGGCTAGTGTGGCCTTGACGCCCTTGGAGGCGAGGCGTTTGGCGAATTGGAGGAGTGGGTTTATGTGGCCTTGGCTTGGGTATGGGAGGACGATGACGTGTACATTCTCCATTTTTCGTCTTCTCGGATTTTGGTGTTGATTTGCAGGTGAATTTTAGAACTGTGTTGAATATTTTAGGTGGGATCTCTATTTATAGGCAATGCGAGTTGTATCAAAATTTATGATTATCAATGTAAGCCACATGCAATAATATATGTGACGATAGCAATAATGACGTCATGCTCATATAATCCATAAGGACCATACCTACGTATGAATCTCATTTTCCTTCAATTGTGTGATGGGCGTATTTGTTTTCCTACTAAATGTTTTTTTTTTAAAAATTATTAAATGCTAATTTATTTTCTTTAATAAAATCCTCTAAAATCAGCAAAATGTTATTGAAATATTATTGTGTTATTTGAAATGTTGAAATTATTAAGTTGGGCCCCACACACAGTAGTATGTCATGATCATCAGTGGGCAATCGGTGGTACGAGATATTAATTAATGAGTGATGACACGTGGTCGGGTGATTCCTGAGACTGACGTCATCTCAATTGACGTCATCTCAGTTAACGTCATCAATGAAATCTAACTTCATGTTCTACCGGTGGATCTCATTTGATTGCGACAAATTTGGTACTTCTAGAGATTTCTTTCCAATATATTTTTGGTTTTAGTATATAAGAAAAGAATATACACACACACACACATTTTTTTTTTATTTTCATACTAATTATTAATTTTTCGATTCGTTTTGATATTTCCTTAAAAAAAATTACGTTTTCATCCCAATATGGCCAATACGGCCGTAATGGAATGAATGTTCGATCGCATAAATCACATCTCAATATTTGTATTTTAAAATCTGAAAAATCCATTTTCTCGATTTCTTTCAAATTTGATTTGTTCGATTAGAATACACATGAAACATCAATTTTCGATACAATTTTAATTTACAGAAATAATTCTAAAAAATTAGAAAACCAAAAAAATATACTTATAATATGAACTGTATTCCACCAGAATAATGTGTAGTATATAAGTGACAGCTGGTTGGTGGGCTTTTGCTGAGTTTGGGCCTGGGCCAATTTAGCCCACATCAGAAGTTGGGATTAATTTCTAATTTTAAATTTATTCGTACATGCTAATTAATTAATGATAGATGGATTAGTAATAAAATAATAGTAATTCGGACTACAAAGCAAAGAAAAGAAAAGAAAAAAGACTCAAAAATTGAGGGAAACAGAGCTTAAAAAGCAGGACACGTGTACGGTGTACATCCATCCTCACATTCATGAAAAGTTGACACACTAATTAATTAATTTGAGACAAATGATTAATTAAGGACACTTGGTCTTATTAGCATGGGTGGTCATGTCTGTGTAGCAAGTTCCGCAGAGTTCTCTGTTGCCAGAAGTGCCAGGTGGCACGCACTTGCACCTCACACAGCACGTGGCACACGCTCTGCTGCACACGTTTGGTCTTGAGTGTAAGCTGCACCTCACTTTGCAAAGTCCTCCACAATCTTCATTCATTCATTCATTCATTAAATTACCAACCAACAAAATATTTAAAGAAATTAGTTATTAGTATATAAGCAAAGGAATTAAGTGTTGATTAGTTTGTAATTAAGATCAATAACAGCACACAAATTAAATTATTAATATGCATATTATGCGTACCAACATATGGTAAAAGCCTTCTGTTAGTACCTCTCACCACCTACAAAATGAACAGCATATATTTAAACTGTATTAATTAAATTATAGGAGCAATTTACAAACAATTAAAAAAATTAACCAGTGCAACTTCTTCATCTCCATTTTCAATGTCTGATAACACCTGCAAATGCAATGCATGATGATCAAGAATTAATCAAAATTTAGAACACACACACACACACACAATATATAATTTTTTTTTAAAATATTTACTTGAGCAAGGGAGAAGAGAAGAAGAGCAGATAAAAGAAGCAGACGATAAGCCATTTTATTTTAGTCTATTTTTTATTATTTTATATTATGGGAAATTTGGAGTTGTGATTCAAGAAATGTAGTGGGATTTTGAGTCTCGTCTTTTCATATACATGTACATATGCCATCAGAGCTTGTTATTTATATAGGTGGCCTCGTTGAATTTAATAAAAGAAACATTATTTTTAATTTTATCAGTAAATTGGAATGCACTTGCTGCTTAACACTACTGACATACAATACAAGCTATGAGGAATCCAGCCATATCCCAGTTGGCTAAATAATCTCTTTTTCTTTTTTTTTTTTTTTTTTTTTTTTTTTTGCTATTTTGCTATTTTGTCCTTATCCATAGGGTAAATTATGGACCCTAAAATATGGCTAAATTACAAAGAAAAAAAGAATTTTTTTTTTTGGATTCAGCATAATATTCTATATTCCATGTATCGTTTCTCTAGTTTGTCCTTTTGGCAAAAATACAGTTGCTGATGCACCATAATTTTATATTTACAAGTCAAGAGATATATCTTACGATTATCTTGTTTCAAAATGTAAAGCTCAAATAGAATAAAATGGGATTCCTCCAAATATAAAAAGTTTTGTTGCAATTTAACCTTACCTCGGGTTGACGATAATTTACCCTTAATTTATTTGCTGACTCATTTTGAGCTGGATTCTACAAGCTCTGAATCCACTTTTATGATCGACAAACTGAAATGCAATCCAGAGTTTTCTTGGGAGTTGCAATCTTATGCAGAAATCCAACTCCCTCTTACCAATATTATTTAAGGACACAAATTAAAATGATGTATGTATACTTATATTACATTAAGAATTTAGAATTAGCTTATTATTTATTACATAGAGAAAATTTCATTTGGAATTAAGGTAAAAAGTTCATTAGAATACAAAACAGGGTCTCTAAAACTTGGCAAAAAAATTCAATAGCCTGAAAGAAACTACTATTGTCTTACCTAATATTACCGAGACAAAAATAACCTTCCAATTAGTTTCTTAACTCACTGGTCGGAAGGCAAGCAGCAAAATGGCAAAACTACTGCTAATATATTAAGTATTAACCCAACCAATAAAAAAAAAAGAATATTCCTCTTGTGAAGAGAACTCATCTAGAAGACAACATTAAGCTCCTTTTCATTCATCTCGTATACATGGTCGCTCGCGTCTGTGATCGCACTCTGCAAGTTTTTCACGTTTAATTTAAGCTTTATATAGCACAGTAGCAATCACTAGGAAGATTTATTTTATTTTTATTTTTTAAGAAAGAAAATGAAAAAAAGCAAATTTTGAAGGTGGAAAATAACCTGTCCCAATTTGGTAAGAAAGTTGTTCATAAGATTTAACGATGAAAGCCTGACATCTTCGTTAGCCTTGAGTGCTTGAGCAATAGAAAAGGCTCCTTCATCCTGGTATAATAAAATATATAATGGTATTAAATAATGACATAAGCTATTGTTATTATGGTCTAAAAAATCTTCGCGTTAAGAATAATATTTCCATACTCTTATCTCATTGAAACCAAGATTTAGCGACGTCAACGCTTCATTAACGACCTTTAAGCTTCGAGCAAGGCAGATTGCCCCCTGCAAGAAGAAAAAAAAATTAAAAAAAATGAGTTACAAGCGATGAAATTAATCATATTGAGCAATAAACGAGCAAAAAGAAAAGAAAAAAAACCTCATCTCTTAGACCATTGGCTCGTAAATCTAGGCTCGATATGGTGCTATTGTATTTCAGCATATCTGCAATGTATTCAGCTCCACTTGGTCCTATCTGCAAAAAAGAAAAAAGAAAAAAAAAATTAATACAGAAGGTCAAAGAAGACATCTCGTAAAAATGGTCGACTCTACTTACCTGACACCAACCAAGCATGAGATCTTTTACGCTGCCGTGGAATTTAAGAACTTCTGCTAATGCCTTTGCACCATCAGGTCCGATGGGATTATAACCAATTTCCAACTGGAAAAGAGATACAGAAAAAAGAGATATTTATACGGCTTCAATAAATAACAAATTCTACAAACTGCGAGAAGCAATAATTGTGTCCACGCACAGCAGTAATGACGGAATTGTCCTTCAGAACTTGCGCTATTTCAGTGATCCCTTTTGCGTGAATGTCATTTCCTCCCTGCAAATATACGTACCGTAGTTACTTTAGTATTACAATAACACCTCAAAAAATCAAACTGACTCCAGATTAAGAAAAAAATTAGTTCCTTTACTTACTAGATCAACATTTGTAACTGAGCGATTTTGCTTCAAAGCATCCGCCATTCTTTCAGCTCCCTGAGAATAATATAAGCAAGGAAAGAGATTAGTGCATATATATAAAGAACGAAGTACTAAAAGGAAGATAAGTAAACTTAAACTTCTACCTCGTCTCCAATATCATTCATGTAAAGACTAATCCACAACAAACTCTTGCTTTTTTTGACATATTCAGCAACATGAAAGGCACCTTTCGCGCTAATTGAATTATTTGCAAGATCCAATGCCGTAAGCTTCCCTACATTTGAAGTTAATTGTTAGATCTGCTTCAGCATGCATGAGAAAAATATAATCTAAAGTAGAATTAAACCTTTGTGAGTAGCCAAGCCAGCCATCAGAGCACGTACTCCTTCATCTCCAATAGAGTTCCCTTGCAAATACAGTTCCTATATAAATTATAGACATAACTGCATTCAGTGATGATAATATTTTAATAAAAAAACAAAACGAAAAGGAAATGGTCGAATAGATACCCTCAATGATTTGTTTCCCTCAAGCCCTTTGCCCAATGCAGCTGCACCAAGGGGACCACCATAATTGCCGCTGGAAGAGCAACATACATACAAATTTAATGAGATGAAGAAAAGGCTAATATTCAAAAATCAGTAGCTGCATACACATAGATCTTTTTATTTTTATGTATTGAATTCAAATCTAAAAAAAGTGGTCATTAGGGTAACAAGGTATTTACTTGAGGTGCATGGACAATATCGTTTTATTCTCGAGAATCGCTCCAGCAAGGCCTGAAAATCCCTACCTCCATTTCCAAATTAACAACAAAACAGAATTAGTGGTCAAATAAATTTTATTTACCCCAGTCTAATATAAGAAAAGTCATAAGCAACTTAAGATTGCATACAGAGTAGTCAATCAAATTGTTATTGAGTTCAATGATACGCAGGGTTGAATTTTTCTTCAACATTTCAGCAATTGCCTTTGCTCCCTGCATGATAACAAACGAGAAGGATAAAATTAGGAGCTTTGTCAAGGACTTTCTACCAAGAAATGTATACGAGGGCGCATCTAAGTACTACTACCAATTGAATGACAAAAGTAAACTAACCTCGTCCCCAAATGAACTACTGCTAAGCTGTAGCTTCTGAATACCAGAATTGTTAACCAGAATGTCACATAAACACTGCAAGAAGAATATATCATTTCATAAACATTACAATTGGAACCATGTAAGAGTTTCACGAAAAGATCTGAATAAGTCTTCTAAGGGTGTATCTAACTCCTCAAAAAACACACTGATAACACCTCAGAAGATGTAAGTCTTACTTTGACTCCTTCATCTCCAATAGAATTTCCAGATAAGTTAAGAGATCTTAGTGCAATATTTGATTGCAAAACCCCATCAAATGCCTTAATTCCATCAGCAGTAATCCCATTCGCAGCAAAACTCACTTCTTCAGCAGTCTGAAATGGCGCAAGTAAGGGTATTACAAGTTACCCAAGTAAGAGTTCTAAGCTAAAAAGACAAAGTCCAAATGAAATTGCACCTGATTATATGCTAAACTCTCAGCTAGGAAGAATAGCCCTTCATCCCCAAAGTTGCGACCTAACAACACCTCGTATGGTTAGACCAATTCTCTGTCAGAGATTTAAAGGGGCTTTCTGCATAATTATGCACAAAACAACACAAAGAAGAAAAAAAGGGTTGCATTGAAAAATGTCTTAACAGTAATAGTGAATGGATATGAGAACGACAACATACATTGAGTTAACTTTTTTCGCCTTCAATATAATAACACAGCAATCACCATATCAATAACGAAACTGAATAAGAAATCAGCTTTCATTTACCTGACATGTCAACACTTTGGAATGACCTAAGCTCTTTGGCAAAATCATTTAGCTTCAGCTTGGATTCCCTTTCAATCTTCGCTCCAAAAGACGACAACAAATTTGTACCAGGGGCAAATGACCACTTCAAACCCTGACCAGGTTGATTCTCTTCAGCTACAGATTTAGGCGGTTTTGGTAGAAGGATTTTCTCCACCAATTTCCATAAAACTGTCAGCTGGAAAGTGTAGATTAGTTACCAATTGAGAATTAATTTCTCCAAAAAATATTTTCCACCCTCTAAAGATTGCAAAGCCAATACCGCTGATTTTTATATGCCTTAACCTAATCATACCTTCAACTACATGCAACAATTTTTTTTTTTTTTTTTGCTTTTCAAGGTTCATGACATCATATGTTAATAAGTTGGAAAAATTCAATGAATTAGAAAGAGAGAACTAAGGTAAGTAGACACTCAACCAGCTACTGACTACGGACATTGCATATAATTATCAAACAGCCGAATTAAGTTTGCATGCTATCTAATCTCAGATAGTACACACAAGTTGCACATTGTCCTCCTGCCCCTTCGTAAAAAACTGGTAAAATTAACTACCAATATTTTATAATTCTTCTTCATATAAAACGAGAATATGAAACTAGTAGGGGGTATACATCAAAAAATCTCGCAAGAGATCATAAGAAGCTTTTAACTTTGATTAACCAAAAAAACCACAAAAATCAATTCATAGCTTACACTAGTCATTCCAACTATGATTTAAACTTTGCATAGCATTAATCTCCGGCAATCAACTGATACAATGCTGTCAACCAACCACATTATCCACTCTACTAACACCTAAATCAACGATTAATAAATAAAATCGGGGAAATGCATACCAAACGTCACAACAACAAAGGCGCCAACAGGCAGAACAGAGGCGGCAATTTCTTTCACCGGAGCAAGCGGAGATTGCGCCTGAGACTGCTGGTAAACTCTGCGAGAACTAGAGCCGCTCCTCGAACTTCTACCACCGGAACCGGAAGCCGCTGCTCTAACGCTGATTTTTTTGGAATGCAATGGTCTCCAAGTGATGCTAACTAGAGTAAAAGGCAACACCACACCCGCCGCATTCCGGTTCTGCAGCAATGAACCGCTTCCGGTGGAGCTTACGGTCCAGAATTCGGTTCTATGTTTGTTCTGAAATCCGAAATTAATCTGAAATGTGCGAGAACAAACAATTTAAACGAAAAAAAAAGTGGATACAGACTGAGCAATTAGATATCTGCGTACCTTTGGATGAGGACAGAGAGAAAGCGTAGAAGAAGACACCATTTATGTATATATGTGTGTGTGTGGGTGTATCTATATATCAGAGGGGGGTTTTGGACTTGAGATTTTGGGTTGTTGCAGAGAAAAAGGGGATAGAATTAGAATAACAAACGGCGAATCGCGAAGATGATGGCTGTTTAACAGTGTTTGATGCCGCTCTGACATAAAATGTTGGTTCTGTTAACGGAACTGTTAAATGGGCTTTTCTCGTGGCCCTTTTATAAATGGACTTAATTTCTCAAAAAAAAAAAAAAAAAAGCCCAAATAAGTAGTTTCACAAAACAACAAGGTAAAACTCGGTTATTACTATACTACATCATGTGAGTTTTTACCGTTGATATACACACACCAATGTGGGTCTGTAAGTGTTTATGTGTATATATAAATGATAAAGATTTACCCATTGTATTTCACCCGGTGTAGCATAGAATAGACCGGTAAAATCCATCCCCAGTTTCAACTTGCCGATTTGCATAATTTTGTTAATTAATAACAGTTAGATCTCATATAATCTCACACATACACCCACGTGTATGTGTTCTTAGTGAGTTGTTATTTAACAACATCAGTGATTAAAATCACCCAGTGTATATGACTTGATGTAGCATCCCAATAATCGTTTGAGAGGTTTATTTGATGATACACCCGATGAAACACCAAATATTAATAAATGTTGATATACACATAATCACACACATCCATATATATGTGTGACTATGGAGTAGTTATTTAACTATATCCATGATTATAAGTCACTCTGTGTATATGACTCGATATAGCATTTGCAATAAACTAGCTTGAGACTAGTATTTGTGAACTAAAGAAATACATACAAGGCTTTATTTGAGGAGTTAGTATTCGATTTTATTTAATAGTGATAGGGACTAAACATAGTATATATGTTTAATTTGTCAATAATAATTTTTCAAATTACTCAAGTTGCAGTGTAATTAGGATTTTTCTCTATTAAAGAGTCCTCTATTTTTTTAGGCTAATGGTTGCCACTAAGTGTAGCTTGTAGCCTTGTATATTATGAATAATCAATACAAATTCAGTTCCGTATAAGTTATTACAACTCTAAATTAAAGAAAATAAATAATCAAAGATAGACCAGGTTAAAACCTAATTAATTAATAATTAGTAATCATGTTAATCACAGTATATAAAGCACACACAGCAAGGGCACAAACATTATAAGCTTCAAAAAAATCATTTCAAAAGCCCATATTATATAACTATATAACTATATATATATATTTATATATATATACATCAAAATAATTTGAAGAATAATGGCAGAAGAAAATGAGGAAGATGGTTGTTTCTGCAGACTTGCCAGATGTTTGTTCTGTTGTTTTATCAACGCGATGGGCTGTGGTTTCGACTTTTGACGTATAAGCCCACAGCCGGAGAGCCGGCCACTTTCTTCTTCCCCCGAAATAAGCACGTGCGACGATCAGTGATTAGTTAAGTTTTGTGTGCTGCATGCATGCTTTGCTTTGATATCGTCTCGTGCATTTCATCAATAAATTAAATCGGAGGGGGTGGATTCCGTTTTAGTTATATTTTGTGCGTGTGTATGTAATGTTTTCGATCCCCGATTCTGTTGTTTTTCTTCTCTGTTTGATTTGCAATGCAATTGGTTTGATTTATGCATCAACTACTAATTAATGTAGTATGCTTGTATTATATTTGTTGCTCGAAATATTAATACATCTTCTTCGATCTTGATGAGGCTAGTTATTATACGTAGAAATCGAACTGAAAAAATTGAAATGAATATTCTTTTTTAATTAGAGGGAAAAATTAATTCGATTCTGATTCCAAAACTTTGAGAATCTTAAAAATCAAAATTTGAAAAGAATCTTGTACAAGTCATGATCCATTACAATATTTTAATATTTTCACTAAAGCTTTGGATATTTATATTATTTTTACAGTATTAATATTATAAATATACTGATTTGAAGAAGAAAAAAATCAAAATTATTTTACAAAAATAAAATTGGATCAAAAAGCAAGTTTCCCGGGATTTTATATATCATCCCAATTTTGGCGATTGAAAAGTTTTCAGAAAATAAAAAAATTCGTATTTTGAACTTAGAATGAAAATTACCATATTTTTTTTTTCAGTTTTTGTACTTGTACGAGCTATAATCTATGCATTACGGACACGAAAAAACGGCATATCCAAAAAATGGGAGCCTGGGGAAGCGTGTAAATATTGCAATTGATTAGTAAATCATGTAATATCCCGGAAATTAACAAAAATATTTGAAAATTTTGCTATTCAAACATATTTCTAACTTTTTAGAAATTACAAAATGACCCATAAAGTGTCCTCGAGTGCGTGACACGAAACGTATCCGAAACATGAAAACGACGTTAAAAAAATTGAAGTTTCCATGCTACATACACTATAACTCAAAAAAAATGTAGGTGTCCTTAAGAGGAGGGATTTCAATAATAGAAAAATATTGTTTAAATAGTTTCTTAAAATTTAAAAATTACTATTTATTTATGTTAACTAGTAACTCACCCGTGCGATGCACGGGGATTAATTCAAAACACCAAAATGAGTTAGTGTAAATGAATGAAGAAAAAATATGTCGAGAATGTAAATAATACAATTGAAAAAAAAATATAACAAATTCGTATCTTAATTTATCAATAATAAGTCTCCATAAAAAATAAACTGACAATGTTCTAAATACCATCCACGTTGAAATGTAGCAAATAACTTCGAAACTGAAATCAAAGCAATGCATCAATCTTGCACATGAATCTGAATGTTGTTAAAAAAGACGACGGAACTACAATCATAGGACGAATAACCTGTTATTTTTCATAATTTTCAATATATAAGTTGAAGATATTACGTGGATAAAGAATACTGATATATATGAGAGCACATCAAAAATAAAATTACTCGATTATTCAAGTGGAAATATATCACATACTGCAAATAAAAAATGAACATACATAGAGTGTACACGTTGAAATAATAAAGAAATATGAACATGTTATCGATAATTGATGTTTGTCAATGTGTACTTTTATATTCTATGGAATGCTTCTTTGTACACGATGTTGCCAGTAACACTGTACAACTCACCGGATTCGCTCTTAATGAAAATCTTTATCCCAGATCTACTTTTCACTCGAGACAACGGTACGTAAAATTGACCTTGACTGAAAACAGGCCTTGGAAGGTACAACCAACGTGCGAGAGAATTTAGCCTTGACTTTTATGATTGCCATGGTAAATGAAATAATCATCGGATATTGTCGTCTTTGAAATTTAACAGACAATGTGTTATTCGAAAGTATCAAAGTCATCCGAGGAATTTCGCCAACATTCATACCGGATAAAACCTTGCAACTAATGACGTGTATGCCCAATCTTTCAACTTGGAGACGAGTTCCATTGCACAAACCTCTCGCTTGATCGATATTTCTAATGAGCATGACATAAACACTTTTCTTTAATTTCAGCTCATGCAGGAATGGACAAAATGTTGAGGTTAATAAAGGTATACACATCTTCACCCTTACACATTGATGCCGTGAAATCCAATCATTTATGCAATAATTGAATGTAGTTACTTACTTTGATGTATATCCTTATTTGTTTTGTTAATTAGTGCGGGAACATAATGCATCGCAAGAAATGATTGACGACTACCATGAAGAACCAAATAACGACGAAGATGATGGAATTGCCAATGAAGATGTGGACAACCACATCATCGATGCAATAAAGTTTGAAAAAACGATGAAAAAGTCCAATAAGTCGATAGTGGTAAATTAATCAATAGATTTATTCATTTTCCAACGAATTAAAAAATCATATTATTTGAATTAATAATATAATTATTAACCGATGCAGACTATCCCCGTAGATTTTGCTAATGCGTTAGGTTTCACGGAGACAACATATATCAGCGTGATGTATGGAGTGGAACCATGAGACATGATAACCTTGTACGTTAGGGGTAATTATCACACCAAAAGATTTCAATTGTCGATAGGTTGGCCAACATTGTTCATCAAGCATAAGATGGTGGTTGGGAACACTTACTCATTTGAGTACAACGTTAACAATAATGTCATCACGGTGAATTCGGTTGATGACAATTAACATGATCTTGGAGTATTTTCCCTAGTAGTTTGGTATTATGCCTAAAGCTCAAATGTTTATACATTTTAACTAAATCAGTTTTCTATTAATATAAACATATTATTTATTATTATTTTTATTTTTATGTAATACTATGAGTTTTGATTACGATTGTTTATTGAACTATATGGGGATATTTATGCCATATGTTTTATTTAATTGTTGTGCCTAATTGTAATTAAATAATAATGGTATGGGTTTCAAAAGTATTATAATAATTTATTGGTCGCTTTAATAATAAATACTAACAATAGACGGGCTTTGATGCATATAAATTTAATTCCAGAAATTACAAAGCAATACATGTTAAATTACAAAGAAATAACTACGCGGGACTTGGGTTGTAATTATACACAAATATTGTGTCACAGTTTTTAATAATTATTATCCTTATGGGTATAAACAATAATAAATATTTATTTTTGCGGTTTTGCGTATAAGAAACTAAACTATACAGGGATATTTATGTACTATTATTTAATTGTTGTGTATAAAGTATAATTAGTTATTAACATTATGGTTATAAAAACTACTATACTAATCTATCGGCCGCTTTAATGATGAATAATAACATTATAATGGCTTGTATGCATATAAGATTAATTCCAATAATTACAAACCAATACATGGTTAATTAACAAAAAATGGCTTAAAAGAATATATCATAAAACCCGAACATAACCTCATCTCGCAACACCAGAGTTTAATAATAATCTGCTAAAAATCATGGCAAGGGGAAGTAACGCGGCAACAAAGCGAAGCAAATTTGCGAGACGACATGGATCGAAACTTATGTTTGATTAGACAGTTAGATCATTTATTTTTAACAAATATTATTATGGGTTCTTAGCTACTGATTAATATTGGTTATGGTACGGTGCCCCTATCCGTACTTATAATCAACAGCTTTTGAATGTTACTCTTAAATATTCCATTCTATCGTGTGCTTCGTATTCATTTAATTGGTGCACATTAGTTATGAATATGTTATAATAGTTGGTCAAGTGTGTTATGTAAAATCTATAAAAATGTAAATAAGAAAATTTAAATACATTGCAATTTGCATGTATAAAAGTTTGTGAGATAGTATAAAAAAAATGTACGCTACAATAATACATGTTAATTTAACCACTTTACAGTGACTAAATAAATGTGTGGATATTAATGATATTAACAAAACATGTCCGAATAAAAAACTCTAATATTATTAAAATCATATGCCCAAAACAATCCAAAAGCAATTACTGCAAACTCAGTCAAACAATAATATCCAAAATATAAAAAAAAAAAAACAGAAAAACAAAAACAAAAACCAAACGTCTAAAACATCGCAATGAAATTATAAGTCTAACGTGAAAAATAAATATAGTACCAAATGCATTAATGGTGAAAATGGTTAAGTTAAGTCATCTAAAATTTCAATATTTGAACTTATTAATCTAATAAGATAGTACCAATTGTTTTTATTATTTCAATTATTTCAATCACGTAAAAAATATAGGGCATATTAGTCAAAACTGAAACTTATCCAAGTATACAGTGTTGTTTCTATACGAACTTGTCATGATTAATATATAAATAATATTTTTGACATGATTTCGATTATTTTATAACAAAACAGAAGAAAAAATACATATAAATAAATGAAATAAAACGATCTTAAATAACGGAATCGTATATACATTAAACAAAATTCACGTAACAAAATTTAAAAATAAAAATTCTAGTCTATTTAAAACATAAAAAAACAACTAATTAAATAATTTCTTTATCATGTATCACTTCGATCACGTTCTTTGTAGGGATGAACTCGAACGAATATATCTTCCCCGCGTCAATAGCACTTCAACCTTGATATTCCAGAATAACTTTTGTTTTCTGATTAATAAATTTTATGCTACAAATTAAATAAACGATAAACAAAAACACGGTAAATAATATATTCATTATATTATAATACATTAAAAATAATAATATTAATACGCATGTTACCAACCTTTTGATTTCATTAGAGGAAACAAATTTTCTCAAATTTTATATTCGCGTTGTTGATCTCGAAAAATCCATCTTCTAGTTCATCTTCAAAAAATACAAACAAAAAAATATATTTTGTTAAATAAATATATCTACAAATAGGTAAATAGGCTTATAATGAATGATAATATGAAAATAATTAAATGAAATATGCATAAACATAATATAAATTGAGGGAGAAAAGGAGAAAAACAAACTGCAAAAAAAGAAAAGTAAATGTTCGAAGAATAGATTACAAAGATTCTTAGTTTCGAGTGAGTGCCGCAAATGTTAATGGAGGGGACAAATGAAATAAGAGGTGGGTATTTATACTTGTGGCAAACATATTAATAAGGTGAATTTTGTGAATAAGGAAATAAATATTAATTGTAATAATTTTAGTATATTAGCAAAATTAGATTCAAAATCGGATATTAAAAA